CAATGACCCTCCACTCGGGGTCTAACTTAAAAGATATCAAAATAAAACTAAACTCTAATTTAACTTTAGAATAAGATTGGCCTTATAATAACAGGAAGCGTATGTAGCACAGAGACTGTGAACACTACAATACGTTTAATTTATCAAGAGGATTAAAACCTCTGGCCTGGAAGGCAAAGTAGCAACTGCGTAACTTCTAAGGTAAGCGGCCTGCTTCGAACTCACGGCTTCCTCTCTTCTGCTTGGCAAAAAGGCCACACTTAAATACTTGGCGTTCGCCAGACAACTTTGCATAAACTCCTTCACGCTTATAATTCTGGCCGGAAGTAGAAAATAAGAAGTGATAGTAAAGATTTAAAATAAAATAAACGTTAGTAAAACTTAAGATCCTTACAAGCTTTGCTTTATTTCTAAGAGATTACATGAAATACGTCATTTATTATGCTAACATGGCAAGGGACATTTCCAAATTCATGGATTAATTTCTGTTTCTTGAAAGTTCAGTTTGACATAAGCGTGCATTTGAAATGTCACGCAAGTTATCAGTTGCAGCAAATACCTCATTGATTTTTCTTATTAATTGAGTTCTGCTCTCAGTAGAAAAGATTGACATAACAAGTGAAGCAAAAGTAGAAATGTCAGATAAAAATGGATCATTTTTGTAATTAACATATCAATGGACTGAATCGTGGAATAGAATCAGAAGAAAATATTAATAAAACTCGCACATCTTAAAAGTTTTCTTAGAAACATCTGATCCTAACATACTGGAAACTCATGATCTTAAAAAGCAAAAAAAAGTGCTTATTAGCACAAAAAAAAGGGCTATTAATCTCGTAACTGCATTTTGCGTTGGATAACTATAAACGAAGTATCACTTTTCAAATTGTGGCCACCACATATTATCACCCTGTATTCTTTTTAAAGAAATTAATAATGTGAAATTCGCATGAATATATTCATGTTTCTCGCAATGTGAAAGAATGAATATCGCAGTCCTCCACCCGAACATGGACACCTCAAAACCCCAAATCTGTATTTCGAATGTTATACATTATTTATTTAATAGTTTGTAAATTTTTGATTAACCAAGTCAACGATTTCAAAGCGAGCAGGAACAACGCTGTACAAAATAAAACATTTTTACCTCCAATGCTCGGGATTATAGCTATTCGGAAATTTAATATATTTATCTTTCAGTTTTAATTAACAAATTTGGCTTTCTATGAAAACAATGTGTATGAATGTGTTGTACCAGAGCACTGCCATTCAGTAAAGCCTAAGATAGTTTCATATTTAATCCGAAAAGTTACATAATAATAAACTAAGCTATTTAAAGCAATACACTCAGTTCTTAGAAATATTTTTTTCTACATTTTAATGCCATTGATTTAAATAAACATGAATTAAATTTATAGAATCTAACTCTATTTGGCCACATAAACTAATCTAGGAACTAATCTAGGTTCTGTTAATGAACCTGGCAACTTCTTACACAAGCGTGAAATAATACCGGCTCCAGAAGAAGAGTAAAAATAACCCTTTATTATTTCCAATAAAGAAAAGAAAAGGCAGCTTCGTGCTTTAACCCTTTAACTGTCAAGTTATTTTGATGTTTTTCGTACACAAATTGTCAAATTTTTTTATTGGAAAAACCAAATGTAGCCGAAATAAACATCTCCCGATATATATTCGGGTATGACAATACGATGCACTCAAAAAAAAAAAAAAAAAAAAATTACCCCGAGAAATACTCGGGCGTGACATTTTCGAACACCATCTCGGGCATGACAGTTAAAAGGTTAAAATAACACCGACAACTTGCGGTGGAAACTAAGAATTTGCAACGCAAATCGATTTAAGTCTAAAAGAATAGCGCTGGAGTAGCACTTTTAAGTTATGGATAAACTAGGTTGACACGACGATACTTATTCAAATGGCCAAAAAGGCGTATCAGCGTAACAGCAAAGTCAGAAACGAAACATGTGCTGGCTAGCGAAAACACGCTCTGAATAAACTTCAAGATTCACCCGTTTAAATACTCATTTCACTTAACTGTAAATTTACATCCTGTTGAGGAAATGCGAGGGGAAGCTGAGGAGTTCAGAAAAAATAACAATAATTGTCTTTGGTTGATTTTCTGAAGTTATTATAGTTCTTTCTCTTGAGCTCATTTTTGTAAACCTCTAGTAATTTCCTCGGGCTTTCATTCTTAACTACCTAGATCAATGCTTTACCCTAGAGGCACAATATCATACATAAAAAGCATTTTTGAAGTCTGTTTCGGCCACCAGAACACCTGCCTCTCTGTCTGTGAGAACCTATTCGCATTCCGCAGCTCGCATTTTGTTTCTTTTTAATTTCTATATAACTCCTAACTGTAACTTTCTCGATTTTCTTTGCTGTATGATACTCTAAAGTTTAAACCGCTGAATAAAACCATGAAATTTACAGTCCATACGCAAATGCTGTATTCTTAATGATTATTAACTTATTTCTAAGATACCGCGAAGCAACACTCTGACTGCAAACCAGTCTGGCCATAACTTGCTCAAGCGAAATTCGTGGTCCTGTAAATCACTTAATGCCAGGCTTTATTGAAACACTTAAATGACGTCAATCCCTGAGTATTAATTATATGGTAGAGGTTGTAAGCAACAGCATTCAAATGAGTTAGCCAGTATATAAACTGAGGTATTTGGATTTTAAGACAGAGGCTTTACCGGCTTTGCGTGCTAGTTTCCTGCCAGTTCTGATAGTTGTAATTATTCGGCTTGAGTTCTTTCGCTGCCGACACTTTGGGTTTTACTCTCCCGGAGAGTTACTAAACCACGACGCTTACAGTAATATTTAATTGTGTAGTGCTTGACTACTGTTCCATGTTTCATTTAAATTTGACTGCTCTATTTAGCTGCATCACAACGCTGTGGTTTATACTGTATCACAAGCCAATGCGTTCTAAATTAAAATGTTCTAAATTCTGTTTCAAACGAAAAGATTACTTGAATCTTCTCACGACTCTGTAGTTACTTCAGACATAACCATAATGTGCTTTACATCTATTATGGTTTCGGGACAAATTAACATTTAGAAATCAAATGAAACTCTACAAGGCTATCTCTAAACACACACTGTTTGTCATCCGAAGCGGTTTTTTTGTTTAGACAATGTGTTCGTCAACCGAATATTTGGTGAAGTGAAGCGTTCACGATCCGAGATTCTGTTGTATCAGTTACTGAACTACTTTGAAAAGCGTAAAAACATGATATATTTTATTCTGAACAGTCTGTTTAAATTTTACAGCTTTTTATTTTGTTAGAATTCTAGTAAACACACCCTTATTTCGTTTAGGTATTATTTATTTTGATAAGATATTTCCATTTATTAATTAACCGTTAGCAATGAGCAGGTTGTTTTACATACACATTCATTCAGTTTTCAGTATTTAAAAATACATTCATTTTAATTAAATATTTTGGTATATACACCTAATTAAGATTTGCATTTTGATAAAGTTCAAGCCTAATTAAGATTCGCATTTTAATTTGTTTTAAAAATCATTCCGTAAACCTATTTATAATTTGTTTCTATTGTTCTGTTCAGAAATTTCGTGGTAATCCCTACTTTTAAATAATGAAGATTTTTTTGGTATGTATATATGTAAGCATGTTCATCGTATTATAGATAAACGACAGCACAGCCACTAGATTTTTGAACACCCATAATCCTCCATCCGAACATGTGAGCCTTGGAAACCGAATATTGAAATTTCTATATTTTTTATTTATTTCATATTTGATGAATTTTTGATTAACAAACTCAGCGATTTAAAAGCGATTTTGGAAGTCAAACATTTTAATCTCCTCCGCACCACACTGTTGACATACAGAAAAATATTTGTTTTTCAATTTTAATAAGCAAACTCAACTATTTAAATGCAATGTATTGCCACTGTCTTAGAAATAAAATACTTTGTTATTAATTATATGGTAATTGTAAGGTTATACGTCTACACGCCTGCGTGTAGCTATTCATTAAAGCATAAGATTTTTAACGTTCAAATTTAACTCTTTGAAAACCGAAGCCTTTGCTTACATGTATGTTAAAATATCGAACTCCCCGAAATGGTTTTCGAAAATCACAGCAATTTCTTCCCCTACCCATCCATTCACCCACAAAGAAGAGTGAAGATTTCAAATGACATCCTTTCTACTTCTAACAAATAAAGAGACGAAACCGCAAATAAATTCTCTTAGGACAAGCTGTCTGCAGTAATCTGATACAATGCATTTGGGGAGACTGTACCTGCTATGACGTACCTTAGGGGAAGGAAGAAACGAACATCGGAATTTCGGCCGTTTGGGGCGGTTGTAGTCGTTTGAATGAAAGGCCGTATGGGGCGTTATGGTCTTCAAAGAGCTGAACTGTTCAGATCACTATTATAATGCACTACTGTTTCAACTTGGATTACGTATACGTAAGTGTGATATTAAAAACGGGATATTATATGTGATATTAAAAAAAGGCCGATAACATCTAGATTCAGCTGCGCCTGTGGCCAAGTGGTTAAGAGAATGCATTTAAATCTTGTTGTCTAATTAGAAATGTAAAATATTTGTTTGAAATTACATAATCATTATAATTATAATCATCAGACATTTTTCCATTTTTTGATTAACTATTTTAGACGGCATGCCATGCAAGCGGCTAGTCTCTATAAAAAATAGGCAATTGTTCTTTGCAAAGGCGTGATATTGGGTTTCTATAAATTATACTAAATACGATGTCAGATGGTGACAGGCTGTTTCCCTGTCGTTTGTAATAAGGACGTACCCTGGATTTCCACAAAGGGCAAGAATCTCGATATACTTTTTGAATGGTGTTTCAAGTACCTTCTACAATTTTATGGCAATAAAGAATTTTTTAATAAACTAATTATATATTTTTGCGCACTTTGAATTTTGGAATGACTTGTGTACTACACGAAACAGCAACATCAATCATATTAAATGTAGAATTTATTTTCCATGTTAAGTACAGTTAATAACACCCAAAAATGCATGCAAGCACATACAGACACACAGAAATAACTTTAATTGGCGAATACAGTATATTTGTGCACACATCAAATTTGAGAATAAAATTCATAAATATAAATGCTACTTTTACCATCATACCTTGGTTCGTATATCATACCTATGCATATCATACATCAAATTTTACACAATAATTATACATTGAAGTACATACAGATATTTAATAACATGAAATTTTTACAAAACAACTATACTTAAGGAATTTAGAACTAAACATTGAAAGTTAATTTCAGTTTTGTTTGAAACCATCGAATATGGTATTATACCTCCCTTGATTAAACGTTAATTACGCTTCTGTAAATAAAGTGGATTTGGCTCATGCAGTATTTAAGATGTATGTATGCAGATGTACGTGTTTGCGTATTAATGTGTGTATGAATTACGTGTATTAATGGTTATATGTATTATATATACACATTAATATACGTACATGTAAATCTGTATATATGCACCTTAAGTACTGCATGAGTCAAATCTACTTTATTTACAGAAACATAATTAACATTTGCTCAAACGAGGTATAATGCACAATAATGTGTATATGTAATGCATGTGTATATGTATTACATATGCATATTAAATACTGCATCTTTGTTTCTTTATATCATCATGATGTTTAGCAATCGGAGTAAGAGGGGATTTTAAATTGATTTGCCAAGACAATGAATGAATAGGTATGTGAGGAAAAGGTTTATTAAACTTACATTAAAATCATGAAATATTTGAACATTAAATGCAAATGCCTTGCTTTAAATTAAAAGAATTTTCTAAATTACGGAAAATTAGCTTAAAATTTATTTATGGTACAAAAATAATTCAGTAATTTTTTTGTAAAACTTTAAACACATTCGAATTTTTGACTGATTTTTTAGCACTTGAAAAGAACTGAGTTAAGCAGAATACTCAGAGACATAACCATGAAACATTTTGATCTTATTTATTTATTACGAATTTATTGTCGTATAAACCCTTTCAGCCCTGAATGATTTGAGACTCGCAAAAAAAAAAAAAAAAAAAAAAAAAAAGTGATATTTTTCTTGGCGTTAGAAAAAGTGCCTTGCAACGTATCTGTAGAGGTTATTTTAAGTTCCTAACAGTCATTTTAATTTTAAACATGCTTTACGCTCCATTCTCATTTCGCATTTATTATTTATTTCCTGCCAGAATGAGGTTTTAGAAAAGTTTTTTATTAAATGAGTTAGAAGGCGTATTTATGGATGGTTCACCTTACTTCATGAAGAGAGAGCTTAGAAATTACCGATAAAACAGACCTTTACATTATAAAGGTAGAAAACGCCCCCAGGAGGTCCGAAAGGGTTAAGCAAATCAATCTAATGTTTAAGATTAAAACAAACAAAAATTAATGGAACAGTCTTAGTCTATATCCAAGAAACGGAATTTTGGAGACCCTTGTGTATCGGATTTATTTAATTTCTCTATTTATTAACCCATCCGTGTAAAACATTGCTTAAAATTAAAGCTTAATGCTTCCGGTTGACAACAGTTACTACTTTAATTATATGAAATAATTTGCAAGATTCAAATAACGTCCAGGCAGGTGTACATCAAGGCAAAAAAGTTCGTGTTGTAGGATAAAAAACATATTTCATTAAATGCAGTTTTAAACTTTAGCTGTTGTTACATATTCGCACTGTGTATCGCAACGCGATTTGAAGGTACTTCTCAAAACAGTGCTTCTGGTCCCCTTTGTTGCAGCCTCGTAGCGAAGTGTTCCACAGCAGGAGCGGCTCTTGATGATTGCCAAGAATCCTTTTCTAAATTTCTTGTTAAAAAATGTGTAGAGAACGGGATTGATACAGCTGTTGGATGCTCCCAGCCACTGTGCAATGGGAGCTACAATCATAATGGTCTTTTCCTTCTGGCTGTCCGCTTCAACGGGTCCTCCTAGTTTGATCATAGTGAAAATGACGTAGAGGGGAAGCCAGGATATGACGAAAAGCACCACGACGACCACCATCATCTTTACTACCTGTGAAAGATAAATAAAATTGTCTCACATTTCACTGCAGGTAACATAGACATTTTTATTATAAGTTATCGTCGTATAATATTACACTGTGTTCAACTGTGTTCACTGTGAAATTTATCGTCTAGGACCAGAGTCGTAGCTAGGGTTTTCAACGTCGAGGGACAATTTCAACGTCCAGGACTTCGCGCCCTCTGCTTCTTGCGAAGATTGCAAAATATGTTGTCCTAAAATTTCGTAACATTAGTTTGACAACCCCTGGATGCTGCAGTCGGGGACATATGTCACCACTTGCTCTCCTCTAGCTACGTTTATATACGCTATCGGCATTGTATAGAACGTCTAAGCAATGTATAGAATCTCGAAAGTTGTACATTAAAAAGTCAAACGATACAATGCCTCACACTGTTTTCGGACATATGTGTTTTCCAGTTGTATTTACAAATATAAGTTATTAAACTCTTTTTTTTTCACGTATATTTTTCGCCTTTTTTAAAATCTGCTTGCTTTAGAAAAAAAAATATTTAAAGCCTTTTTGGTAAAAAATATAATTTATTCAAAAATGTTCTGAAAATTAACTAAGATAAACATTTAGACACTTTGAGAAAACAGTTAATATTAAATAAAAGAACGAAAATAATAGAACGTTCAATATTTTCTTGGATATTCATTTGCTAAAATTACACTTTTCATGCACTTTGGCATGGCTTCAACTAATTTCTTCGTGTATGTTTACTCTCCCTCCTTTGGAATTGCTTTTTTAGAGCGTTTTTAAAAAAGTCGTATTTCCTTTATCTCATCTTCAACTCACTTGGTATATGTTTGATAAGTACGTAAAATGTGGATGAGTTCCGACAACTTCAGGATAGTTGTATTGTAGTGACATTAGAATCTTTTGGAAGCAGGTAAGATGAAAAATTAGCAAACGCCTTCGCCGGGAGTCGAACCACGGACCTCTGAAATACCGGCTCAGTGTGCTGACCACTGCACGATGAAGGCACGCGACGAAGGCGGAAGAAATACCGCATAGTATAATAAACCTAAGCGAACATTAAATGCTGTTTGTTTATGAGAGTCACCTAGACAGAACTTGAATGTAGTTTGCTATCGCTGTTTTCTTGTACATGTTTACAGGTCTCCATTACGAATATGTTTATATTTATATTCATCCCCATTATTTCCTATAATATCTATACTTCCCATCCCAGAGGCAGCGAAACATCTCTAAACATTATATCTCAAACCACATGCTGAACAGCAGACAGCAAGGTTTTTAAGATTCAAATTTTTATTTGGCTTTAGCCACGCAGCTCTCAAATATCAAATATCATATTCTTTTAATATGATGATAAATCTTGGTTTACCATCGATTCTGCGAGCGTCAGATATATTTTCCTTGTTTTCTTTTTGACGAAGAATTTGCTTCTTGCTGAAGACCCATTGAATACAAATGATATAATATATCTTATAACACTTTCACGGTTGACTTATACAGGAAATTGTTCTTTTAAATGTGTTGTAAGTTTCGCAGCATTAATAGGAGCAGGATTGTTGCGTTCTACGGGTTCGTGGATTTGGAGCGATTGATGACAACACTTGAAGAAAAATTAGAACACAATGTATTCGTAAATATTACACAGGACAGTTCCAAAAACGCGTTACAATTGTCGGAAGACTCTGACAAACACGCTGAAACAATCCGAAACACAGCCTTCAGGCTATAACGGTGACGACAGCTTCACAGCAAAGCGCTAAAGCACAGCTTCCGGCTCGGTTCGGTCGCTCTCAACCTAATCTCTGAAGTCAAAGCACCTACTACTGAACTGAACATACTCTTGAGACTCTCGTACTCTGCGTACGGGCAGTGCATATATATATATATATATATATAGCTTTTGACCTGCCTTCGAAAATATTCTGCGGAAAAACAGTAAGAATTAGTTCTAGAATGCTCGCGCTGAACCTATGGCATAGCGCTAATTTTGTCGCTCAAATGGGCGATTTCGAGCCAAATTTGGCAACCCCGCCTGTTCATGCCACTTTCTGGCAAGTGGGGAAGCTATCATACCGCAGCTGGGCCTTTCGTAACAATATTAGAATTTTATTTGCTTTTTCTTCGGATAAATGTCCTACTCCTTCGTATGAGCTCGGAATGTGGTCCGCACTTTAGAGCATTTCTAAAAACACCACTCAGGTTTCATCGTTTTATAGCATGAAAGATAATTGAACGCTTTACATCAAAGAATTTTAGGTTATTTAGAATGCATTTACTGCCTTTAAATGATGAATAGTTAAACTTTTAACAGAGAGTATAGTTACGAAATTATAACCAATATCTTCATCTGCGAAAACATCTCTGAATTATTCCGAGAGTCCAAATTATTATGTGAGTTATCGACTATTGAGTTTTGAATAATTGTTCTATTATAACGAATATTTTGATGATATTTTTTTGTAATAACCAAGACTTAAAATAGAAAAGATAGAAAAAAAAAGATAGTTAAAATAAGAAAAGAAATGTAATAGAAAAAAAAATGGAGTCTATGCTTCGATAATCAGTACAAGATCTATGCGTATAAATGAACTTCAAAAATAAAGTTTTTAGAAACCAAATGCGAGCCACTGTATAGTTCTCATAATTCTTAAGTAATCAGGCAAATACCAAAAATCAAACCTGCAATAAATGAAATGTCATATGACAAAAGAATGTGACTTTTGACGATCAGCCCAGGCAGAGAATGTTTCATTTGCATTTCAGACTTTGTTCGAAAACAACAGAATACACTACTTTGAAACTGCTCAGTAAGAACTAGCCTATACTATGATGTATGAAAATGGAAGCGTAATGTGCGAGAGTGAATCATGGCATGTTGAAATGCAACAATTCTACGATTGTCGTTGCATGTCTATAGTGCGAGACAATGCTATAAAAAGCAACGTTTTCCTAGGCGGGGCTACTAGAAGCTCGTGAACGATGTGACAAGGCTGTGAAGGAACAATTATCTTGTTTTCTTCAAAGAAAGATCCATATATTAATCCTATATTTTGTATTTCTCCTACTTACACGTACGCCTTTTCAGTATACGCCTTTTTCTGACTTAAATATCATAGATATTATATAATATTCTATAATTAAGAATATAATAAATAAATAAAATTCTATAAATACTTTTATAGAATGCTTCTTTATTTCAATACAATATTTTCGTGACTACTATCCTAATATTTTGATTATTTAATACTCTGTCTGAATAGCATTTGTCATTCTATGTAATGTCGCGGTAGTGCCCACAATACCTAGTGAAAGATATGTACAGTAATAAAATACTTCGGATATTTCATAGTTTTCGTCAAAATGTCAAGCATTTTAGATATTTTCTAGATATTTTATAGAATGTCTGTTTTTCTGCATTGCATCAACATCTCTGCTATTAAATAATAATAAATCTATTTGTGTGTATGTTTGCTTGCTTCGCGCATTGCGATATAAAATGGCAGCACCTAGAATGACCAAATTTTGAATCTGTACTCCATCGGTAGATCGTGTGCACCTCAAGGCAGAATTTTGAATTTCGAATTATTTCTTATTTTGTACGAGTTTAGTGAATTTTTATTAATAAACTAAAGCTATTTGAAGGCGAGCAGAGGTGACACTGTTCGAAATAAAGCATTTTTATCTCCAATTGTGCGAGGCTGCTGCCATTCGGAAAATGTAAGAATTTCAATTCGGAAAATGTAAGAATGCCATTCGGAAATCTTTAAATTTTATTTAACAATCTCCTCTATTTCAAAGCATTTGTTTCTACTGCCTGAAACAAGGAGATTAGAATAGATGGAGCAAACCTTAAGTCAAGAAAATGAAGCTAAAGAAATGTCAGCAACGTGACGTCACGATTCACAACATGTTTCGTAGTTTTATCCGTACACCCCCGATTCATCATGGGTGTACGGATAAAATTACGAAATATGTTGTTAAATAAAATTACACCGACTTTGTGAGCAAATATATTCACCGCCTGCAGACTCATAAAAGTGTCTTTAGGCATAATTTGCATAAAATACCATTGAAACATTCACTGATCTTCCATGTTTTATTATGTATACATCTATTTTACAGTTACTATTTACACATTTTCAAGTTATGAGATTTTATTAAATTTGAAACATTTATTTGTAATCCTTGTCATTTCTATATATGCTAAGTATAAAATCTTTTGAGTTAAGTATTAAAACTGGAATGTGAGACTTATAAACGTTCAATTATCTAACATGTAGACAATGCTGATTAGAACGTAAGCAAAACCAACCAGATGTCCACTTATGGCAGGACCATGATAAGGCGTGACATCATACCGTGACTTTTTATGGTTTCATTTTCATTGCGTGGGACATACGGGGGAGGCTTACTCCATTTACCATAATCTCCTTGGTCTGAAATAGAATAATAAAATTTTCCACGCACCAACGTATTGCATTCTTTAAAGCGTACAATATTTAAACTTGATGTTTAATCTCTCTCATATTCAGTTACAAACGGAGTGATTTGATGATGCCGTGTCTATGACAAAGTGCAATTATACAACTCCGAAGCTGTCAAAGACAGCTTTTGCAACCTGCAGCTCTATCAGTATAAAGTAGGTCGACTGGGTCTTCAATGCCGATGTTAAACAGTCTGGCCTGGATTTCTGGGCAGCTGAAGATGTGATGGCGAGACAGTGGGATGTCATCTGGGCAATGAGGACAATGTTGGTGTAAACACGTTGCCGTCTACAGAAATCCTAATCCCTTTTAAGTGATTTGTCCTAAGTCTAGTTATGATAGTCGATATGGCTCTGTCACGGTTCAATTCCGGGATGGAGTCTCCTTTATCGAACTTGATCGATTAGTCTTTGGCTGGCAACTGCATTGGCATCAACGAGGGTTAGGCAGTTAGATGGCTGAGGAAAATCACGGGATGCCTTTGCAAGCTCATCGGCCTTCTCATTACCAAAAATATTTACATGAGCCGGTATTCATTGTAAGATTCAGGATGCAGGATCTTTGGGCAGCAATGATTTTGTTTGTGAGCTCAATCATCTGATGACTGAGTTGACATTTGTTGACGGAGTGATTTAAAAGAAGTAAATGCAGTTGTTAAGAATATTTTTTCTATTTTATAGTCAGATTGATATAAAACTGCATTTAAAAATTAGAAATATTCGTCTAATAAGAAATATACTTTATATCAGCAATACTCGTAAATATTCTCCATTTCTTCTTTTAGTTGCTTTCTACGGGTTCGTGGATTTGGAGTTATTGTTGGCAACACTTGATGAAGCATCAAAACACAATTTATTCATCAGTATTACATAAAAGAATTCCAAAGACACATTTATAGCCGTGGGAAAACTACGATAAACTCGCTGAAACAATCAGCATCACAGTCTTCAGGCTATCGGGCTATAACGGTGAAGACAGCTTCACGGCAAGGCACTAAACAACAGCTTCCGACCCGGTCGATCGCAGCTAATCTCTGAGCTCAAGACACTACTGCTGAACTCAACATACTCCACGCCTAGGCAGGGTATATTTGACCTGTCTTTGAGAATATTTTCAGGAAAACCGGTAAGAATTCGTTCTAGAATGTTCTCGCTCCATCTATGGCATATTGCCAATTTTGTCGTTAAATGCTGCCAAATGGAGGATTTCGCTCCAAATCTGCAAACCTGTCTTTCCTTCCCATTTTCTGGCACCCTAAACCCGCTTTGCGGGGAAGCTATTTTACCGCAGCTGGGCGTTTCGGAACGGTATTAATTATTTAGAGCTAACGATTTATTTTAACTCATTGTTTCTTATTTTATTTTAAAGTTAATGATTTTCGTTTTAATCTTCCGTACTGATTTTTGAATTTATTTCATCAAATTCTGATTGCGAATAAAAAGCTGCATTCTTTCGCTGATAAAATTTGTTTGTGCAGTTTTTATAAACATGGTGATGCTTTGATTTTTAAGTTCTTTTAATTGCTTAGTTCTTAGTGCTACCATAATCAGGAGAAAGAATTTGAAATACATGGCGCGTGGCCCATAAACCGATACTTGATCAGGATGAAATCTTAATTCAGAGTGAGTTAGTTTTGGTTCTCAAAGCATTTTGATTGGTTATGTAATACTACTGTAAAATTATTATGAGTTTCAGTTCCAATTACATCATCAGAATTATGCAAGAGTCGTATGACATGAATTATGATGCAATTATGTCTAGAAATAACCTCATTGCAAAGAGAGAGATTACTTTTTTTAGAATAGATTTAATTTACGTTGCTAATTTAAATTATAATTTGCTATTAATATATTTTTTATTTTTCATACATAACCCTCTTCAAAGAGAAAAAGGTGTCGTGACATATAGAAGCATTTTTAAAGAAAAATCATTAAAACAGTAGAAAATGAAGAGAAATGTAAATCATAAATATTTGACTGACAATAATTAATTACACAAGTGTAAAGTATAATTTATGGATATAACTTTTTTATTTGTTTCAGAGTTAACATAATCATAACTCTTTAACACAAATTTCATGAATATATAAAAGAAAATTTTTGCTGTCATATTAACAACAAGTTTTTTAGAAAGATTTGTAAAAGTATTGTGATTATTTTTAATATTCAAGCAGAGATTTTAGAGAACTGTGAACTCTTCCAGTTATTTCTTGAAACAATTAGAACATTCGTTACAGTATTTTGGCAGAAAAATGAGCTTGCATAATTTCAAATTTTGAATAGAATTTTCAGTTTGCATTTATTGTTAAAAACAATATTTACAAAATTTTTTTATTTAAAAAATTATGCATATAAAAATTTTATGATTTTTTTTCTCAATTGTATTTTTCTTGTTTCGCTACTCTTTGATGCTTTCTTCTGAAAACATATTTCTGTCATCAAGACGTTTCCTCTTTGAAAGGGGGATATGTAAGATGTATAAGATAAAGAATATGTAACTCAGGTAGATTTTAATAATAGCCTCTCAATTCCTCATTTCTAATTTGGGTATATCCTTTATATTCTTTTTTGAACAGCTTATCCTAACAGTATCAAAAATATAAATATTCTGGGTTTAAGCACGATCAGAGTTAAGCTAATTATGTCCACAAATGTGAATTGAAATCAAAATGAATATTTAATCTTACTCGACTGTGAAGTTTCCTAGTCATTATGAATTCAACATTTTAGCATTCTACGCAATCAGAGTTCTTTCTCTTCAATATGGATCTACGTTTTAAGCCAATCAATTATCTAAGCCATCATCATTTTGTGTTTCTACGTCTCAGTGCTCCAGCACTTCTAAACTTGTTTTCATTACATTTGCATATATAAATGAGTATATTTGGCAAGCCTCAGAATATATGAGTTTGAGCAAACTATAATATTACGAAAATATTCCTAACAAGGTTTACTTCCGCTAAAGTTTTACTTTTTGTCCTGCAATAAAGATTATGCAAAATTTTGAACTTCGTAAAGAAATATACTTAATTTATTAAAGTACCTCAATCAAGAACATTCACGTGTACGGTAAATTTTATTATAGTGAAAGAACGTAAAATGATAAATTATATAAATAAAACTTATTTTAAGAAATCAAAAATAAATTTAAAAAATAAAAATAAGTAAATAAATGCATAGGAGATATCAAAATCAATTTACTTTCAACTTTGATCTTTGCCTCATGAGATCTGCATTTGTACCTTTGGTCTCGCCGGGGATGCTTCTTCTGCAGACTTTAATCCAAATACCGATATAACACATAGATATGATGCAAAGTGGCAGAAGATAACAAAGACCTAAGTTTGCAACCAAGAAATAAAGTGTCTGCGATTCTTCTTGTGGCCAACTTTCCATGCAGAGGGTGATTTCCGGTGTAGAAGGGTCGATAGGTTCCAGATGAAAATACATTGCCCATGGCAGGGTGATGAGAAGGGAGAAGACCCAGATGACCACGATGATCCTTCTAGCACTCCTGGTGGTCATTTGGCATTTTAGCGGGTAGCAGATGGCCACAAATCTGGGGGAAAAATACACGGGAAAATGTAGATAAAGAAAGCAATATTTATAATTCAGATAAAAATTTAATCCATTTGGATATATAACAGCAGATTAGCCAAACAAAATGACGGTAGGCTCTGTGTTTTAGTTTAAAGAGCAGCTGCTGTTCAGCGCGTAGGTTTATTAATGGAAGTGTCAGGAGGTTAAAAAAAAGTAAAATAAACAAAAGGTTTTACACACACAATATATTTTTACTTAATTTTTTTTATTATATTTATTTATTTAAAATGATCCTATGTAAATAAAGTCGAGGTTATGACAAATAAGATACATAATTTAAGATGTCTGCACTTATAATCCTGGCAAATGTTAAATCCGTAAATGAATTGCCAACTATACTTGGATAGTTACATGGTACCATACTGAGATTAAAATGATGTTTCATAAAATCAAATGCTTTGTCATTTCTTATAAAATACAGCAAGAATAGAGAAAGGAATAGAGAAGGGAAATTATAATTTACGCTGCAGAGAAGTGAATAGGATAGAGAAGGATACAGAATATAGAAGGATATAGAGTAAAGAAGAAAAGAGAATGGAACAGAATAGAATAGAGAAGGGAACAGAACACAGAACAGATTGACTGTCTACCAGTGACTTTACATAGAACAGATTGACTGTCTACCAGTGACTTTACACAGAGCAGATTGACTGTCTACCAGTAAATTTCTACCAGATGGCCTTTCACTTGGCGATATAAAATAAAATACAACAAACATAACCGAAACACACTACACTCGACTGTTTACCAGACAACCTTGGCACTCTCACGCGATCGTGCATAATCACGGAGCTTTGAAGTCATCAAAATTTCGGTTTGTGTGATGCGTTGCTATGCGTATATCCTTTGTCTAATTTTAAAAAATTGTGTTTGCTAATGTGATCTTTCATTTATCTAATTATTTTACATAGATTATAACATTTACACTTTCAAGATACAAGCATTCAAGCAGATCCCAGACAATGTCTTAATTCTTGCTTTCCCATCAGATCATTAAGCCGCATGCGCGGTCATGCATGCGGGCGGAAAGCGTTGACCAGTGAGAAGCGAGCTCAGAGGCGGCATTTTCCGGACGACCGGAGAACGTGTGAGTTGGCTTAACTTCAACTTTTCGACGCTTGACGCGTCTTCAGGCATCTCGTTTCAAAATTCGAGTTTATACCACGGTTTTTAAATGACTGCACTTTCAAAAATTTTTCTTCATTAAAAAAAGTCAGACGGATTAATCTTGATAAACATTTCAGATAATAATAAAAAAGTGTATATGCTAATAGAATAAAGAGCTTTATAAATTGTTTAAAGGAAACATTTTAAGTTTATTAGCAGTAATAAACCTTAATAATCCAGCATAATTAATGCATGGTTGATCATTTTTACAGAATAATCTAAAGAAATAGATTGTTGCGAGAAAATAGTGATGGATTTCGAAATCCCAGATTTTGAATTTTTCTTAAAATATATCTACATCAGATTAGGTTGCTCTTGTAGCCTAGTGGATAAAACGTTGGCTTCTTGAGTTAAACATTTTGAATTCAAGCGTCACCAGGAGTGGTGTTGTAGTAGAGTTGGTATTTCTTAAAAAAAAAAAAAAAAAAATATTTACAGAAAATATTGTCGCTAGTTTCAGAGTAGCACAGATGCTTCTTCAGTTTCTGAAGGTGAAATGTGAAAATCATACTTAAATGGAAGATACCTCGGTGCGGAGGTAACACGCTGAAGTAGAAAATTGAGCTGGTTCTAGGAACTTGTATTGCGGGTTCGGGACTTGCTTTTTCCTGCCTTTGTTGATGGTACGAATACGCCATTTTGTTTTTTAAATCTACTGCGGGCATATGACAACTTTTAAAGCGAATGTTGCCGCGCTGGTGTGAACTGAAATATGCGGAAAGCATTTTTTTCCGCGTTGCCGCTTTTTGCCCCAACGCACCAGTGTGAACGCAGCATTACACAGGAATTCAATCCTACTAAAACATTGTTGTTAAATTTGTTTTCATGAATACATAATTTTAAGTTAATTTTAGATTTGCAGTTATAAATGTAATCAACAAAATAAATTTTTTTAATCAGATATCGCAGAATCATTACGCACCTGAGAAAAAAGATAATTTATTTTCCTTTCCATGCGTGGATTTTGTAATAACCTGGAAGTAATATTTTTAAAGTAAATTCAGGGGAGACCCTTTTATCTATTTATCTTTGCGGGCGATGAAAGTGCTATAAAAAAGGCAAACGAAAAACTCCTAAAACATGAGCTTATTTCGCCACAAAAAGTGCTTTGTTTGCTTTACAGATATGTTTTACTGCTGGAGGTTTAAAACGCGTTAATTCCATAAAATTTAAAAACCTGTTCTCTTTATCTTCACCCCCAAATAACTATTGTTGTCATTTTGCCTCTGAAAATATTTGTCGCATAATATTCTCTGGCAAATAAGCTCTTTTATTCAGATCCAATTTGCATTTTTATCTTTTCAAACACTCGAGAACAATATTTTGTAGTATAATAAATAGAATTGCCTTTTAAGCTAAGAGTTAAACGATTCAGCTGTTAACTATGTTTTCAGGAAATGTTTTGTAGTGTTTTCATACATTTTTTATTGTTATCCAGAAATTTCCTTAAAAACTAGTTTACGTTTTTAAATTCGGCAGAGCATGGAAATGGAAAATATTCTGTTAAATAAGTTATTTAAACAGATTTTTTTTGAAAGGGTGCGGGATTTTTTCGAATTTTTGCAACATTACTTAAATGTGGTATCTTTCATCTGATGTTTATGCCAATAATACATCGTTCAGAAAACGATATCATAAAACTCCCTTCCTTTCCTTGATATAGTGGCCTAGATAGAGCTTTTGCCATCCGGGACGGTTCCTGAATTTGCCGCTGCTCTTGATATGCAAACAAATAACTAAAAAAACATTATAATGACATAGGGAAATAAACTTTTACTTCCATACCCTTACAATTTTTGAAAAAAAAATAAATTCCGAACATTTTAAAATTTTAATATTATTTTGCTTATTATTTTTTGACGTTCTTTGGTTTTCCACGTGTTTAACGTGTATACCAGCCAATTTCCCTTAGAAAGTCCTCCACGAAGGCATCTCTCTCCTTACTCAGATAGCCCTCGAGGCTTTGCCGTAATACATAAACCAATCTTAACAAGGAAATTTTTCTCATTAGTGCCACCCTGATCACAAAATAGTTCTTTCGGATTCCTTAATTGTGTTTGAGTTTCACTTTTCTTAAAATTTAGCTACGTCATTTTGGTTATCAAATCAAAGACATACGGTAATTGGATTTATTGGAGGGTATTTTATTCTAATTTAAAAGCTCTTTCATTTCCTAGTTGCAACTGAATATTCTTCAAGTGAGAAAGAGTAACAGGTATGTATGTATTGTATTATTTTGTAGAGAAAATTTTGACAGTTAGAAATGTCAGTATTATACCATCTCATCCTTTTCTTGCGTTTCTTTTCTTTTGTTAATTTTAATCATGAGAAGTTTTTATCCGAGATTACTTAGATCTGCAAGTCAACGTTTCTCGAGCTTAATTTCCTACTAAGGTTAATGGAAAACTTGCGGTTAAATTCTTAGAGATAGAGAGAGAAAGCGAGAGCAGGAATTATTACTGAACGTATGAAATTTGATCAATAAATGTTTTCCCGACATAAAGGCTACCTTAGTCATAATTAGCTAGACATAAATTACATGAAATTCTCTGGTTTCGAATTGATGTTATTAAATAAATTAATACGGAAAACCAATTTTAAAATGGATAGTCAAGCAAAATACGATCTGAGTGCAACTGTAAGAACTTCAAAAGTTTTTAACTCTTTCACAGTAAAGTCGCCAGAAACGCCCGTGCTTTAAGACGTAGGCAGGTTGCTCGAACGCTTGCGCCCATTTTCTGCCTAGTACGTTTCCCCACCATGTTAATGTGTAGCTCATCGGTTGTGTGTCTTTTTTTTTTTTTTTTTCGTTCCTGCCTTAACCCCTCATTTTAGCCCCTACATTCCTATACAAAAAATGTATGTATTAGTACGCACCCTCCAAGTTTGTCCCATGATCTGTGAAACACCCTGTATAAGCCACCTCACTTCTCTTTCACCAAGATTAGATACCTAATATATTGTCTGCACTTTAATATGGTGTGTAGATTTTAGCTGATATATTTCCATCACGGTTTTTAAATTAGGTTTATAAAATCCTAGAAATCATTAGTCGATTCGAAGAGGCCTACCCTCCATCCAGAAAAATTCTGTACCTTTGAGTTATGGAGGCCAACACCAGGCTTCGAATAATCTCTACCTAAAGTGATGATTTATATTCGAACAATAATATTGGGAATCGAATAAATTTCGAACAATAATATTAGCTTAAAGTTGACGTTAAACAAAAGAAGGGGAAAGTGCATTTAAGGGGTCATACCTCCCTTAAAATGCTAAAACGTCGAGTAAATTGGACCATTTCAAACTACTGTATCTCATAATATCAATAACCTTAAATAATATTGGGGAGAAATTTTAAATTTCAACAGCTGCGCCTGGAGACTGTAATCACATCAGATGAGACTTTGACATATGGAATCAAACTGTTCACTGTAAACTGGATGCTTTTGAATTTTATGAATTTACTTCTTGCTCAGTTTTATAGTAAGGTTAGTACCTTTTCATTCTGTATGTTTTGTCCGAAATATTTTGAAATATACTCAATGAATATGTCGCAAATCTTTTCATTTTCGTGGCTTTTTGCCAGAAAGAAAAAATGTATGCCTTTCAGATAAGTTTTTTCAACCAGTTTCAGTACATTATATCAAAAAGGAATTTGTTTAGAAAGTTTTTGAAACGTATAAATAAGCTAAAACCGTTTCTGATGAACATACTACAAGGCAAAAATATTCCTTTCCTTAAGGCGAAATTTATAATAAAATTCTTATTCAAGGAGAAAAAGAGTTAAAGCTT